GATGATGGGCGACAATGGACTCGCGACCTGAGACATGGATGCTTTGTCTGGAGAGCTTGCTGGTACTATGGTCGAAGAAGACTCGGCAAGGGCCGCTTCAACCAGCGAGTCGAATGTGCTGGAAGAAGAAGGTACCACAGGCACGATTGCCATACCATGAGCAACATGCCCAACCTAAAAAAAAACAGGGGAGAGTATGCAAGATAAGAATGAGGCATTTAGCGAGCTATGTCATTAGAAGGCAAGAGAAGGATTGCCCGACTAAAGAAGAATGGAAAATAGGAAAAGAATATGTAAGCAAAGCGAACGATGGATACCTCTTGGGTACTCTGTACAGAATCAGCAACAGCAGCAGCAAGTTTTTGGTCATCAGTAACATCGACAATCTGCAAAGTGAAGGCAAAAGGTAAATAAGCGGCTCATGGAACGAAGAAACAAAAGCAAAACAGGGCATGAGATGGATACCGATTCAATGTTGATGCGACGCGCATTGCTGTTTGTGAAAGCATCCGAGCCGCCCTGCTCTTCCGGGTAGCCGCTGGGAAGCACAAATGCATCTTCAGCATGATCATGGTAATCACCCTCACCAGGATCCTCGCAAGTGCCACCAATGCCACACATATCCTCTTGCTCTGGGACACTAGCCTCGGTCTCAGCGGCATCCTCGTCGTCGCTATCATCATCAATAGACACAACAGTACCAACTCCAGAAGCTCCGCTGTTACTTGTGCGAGCCCCACTGAACCTTGTTTGCAGAATACGCATGCTACGACATTTCGGAGCCACAGGAGATGCACCGCTTCTCTTCCTCTTCGGGGTGGTGCCCATTTTTTCTAAGAAAAAAAAAAGAGGGAAGGTTAGATGAATAGATAAAAAAAAAGAAGGCAGAGCATGCAAAAGAAAGTGGTCAGCACTTACTGCGAAGAGGGGTGGTCTCCGGCGCCTTGTCAGTGCGGCCCTGGCTCTCAGATGCAGCAGACTTTGAAGGCTGTGAACGTGCTGGGGGAGTTACTTCTTTAGTTCGGGAGGGGCCGCTCGATGCCACCTTTGGAATGAACCTTTTAGGTTTACTTGCGGTCCGCTCCTTCTTCGCGCTTGGCTTCTCCTCCCGTTTCTGTTTACCTGACGCCGGCGTCGCCCTTTTTCCAGAACTACAGGGGCTCTGTGCTCCCGGTTTTTGCTTTGGCTTGGAGAACTCCCCGACTATGTCACCACTTTTAGAAATAAATGGCAGGTTGCGCTTCACGCTTAAGGGGATTGCTTACTCTTCCGATACTAGACCAGCAAGGCGAGCGGTAGTCGGAGGCAATCTGTCACAAGGGGAGGATTGGAACTCGCACATGGAAGTAAGGCAGCGGTTCCAGTAGGCTTGATATCCGGGTGAGAAACCACCAATTCTTCTCCTGCCGGCTAGGAAAGGGGGCCTAACGCTGTCCGGTATGTTGCAGTTGCTCCAGAAGGCCCTGTGAAGTAGGAAGGGGTCACCATGGCTAGGATCGTTTGGCACGCCCTGGTCAAGTCCAAGCTGCCGTCTGACCCGGTGGGGTGAGTAAGTAGCGGAGACCTCCGAGCGGTTGTCGCCTAAAGTGGGCAGTGGGAGGCATGCGGCATTCAACAAGGAGTATCTTCTGAAACTGCAGCCCTGAGGCATCACTGCCGGAACCTCAACAATATCGTCAACGTCAACATAAAAGGGCACAAAAGTGAAGGTTTCCGCTGAAGTGCCGTACGGGCGAAAGACGAAGTGCTCAATATCATCCAGCAGCCTTAAAACATTTTGGCCTTTTCTCTGCATTCGCTTAAACCACCTGCAGACGAGAGGGAGGCTGTCCGGCATGAAAGAACCATTGCCCGTATCAGCGGACTGCAGAGCATACGAATAGGGGAGTGGGCACACGTCCAGCCCCTTGAGGTGTTCCCACAAAAACACCTGCAAGAAGCCAGAATTCAGAAGGGTCTCTACGCCCATGGTTCCCGCCGCATTCTTCTCCAAAATCTGACACTGATCAAGAAGCCTGTATAAATGCCCTAGGAACACGGGGGCTAAAGGAATTGAGTCACCTCGGGCGATAGCCAAGGCCAAAGGAAATACACGCTCATGAAGGCAGTCCTGGGAAAAGTCACAGAGCACGAATCGCCCGAGCCACAGTGATATAAACGCAGCTAGCCGCCAAGGTCCCCGCCTATCCACATCACCAAAGTACTGTATCCAGTTGCTGAAGCGAAGCGAAGTGCTGGGAGAGGTAGGAGCGCCCTTTCGCAGGACTGCAAGGGTGTCTATCTCTGCCGGGGTAAGAGCAATATCAAAAGGACTCCGATCACCGCATACAGGGAGGCGAGATATGTTTGCTACGTCTTCAAGAGTCGGAGTAAACTCTCCCCACGAGCATACAAAGGTGTGAGTAGCTTTGCTCCACCTCCGGACCACATGACGGAGCATCCTTGCTTCGATATGGATATCCCACAGCTTGGATAGGAAGATGGCGTCAAGAACTTGCGCCCGGCGTAAAATATCGCAAGTAGATGGGTCCAGCAGCTCACGGTCAACCCATTCTGACCAGCTTTTACTGATGCTGCAAGGATGCTGAAAGAATAAGGGGACGGCTGGAAATAGGCCTTTCTCAATGCAGCACCTAGATACGGAAGCAGGCTCGACCACGGAGACGGTCT